GCCCGAGCCGGGTCATCGCGCCCGGCCCGCGCCGCCCCCTCGCGGCGGCGCGGGCGCTCTGGCCCCGCCGGCATTCGCCATTGCTGAGAACGTATGCCGCGCCAGGGCTGGCGGGGGAGAAGAAGGATAGCCGGGGGGCCAAGCAGGCCGCCGGGGCCAGCGCGCAAGTCAACGTCATCGAGCACATCGAGAGGGGCATCGACCAACGAGGCGGCGACGTTACGCGGGCACTGGCACCATCGGACCCTTCGGCCTCGGTCACTCCAACAACGCGCAGACGCATGGCACTTGCTCTGGGCGTTGTGAGACGACCTCTCCGAGTGCCCGTTCTGCGGCTGTGGCGCGCGCGCGCGTCGGACATCGGGGGGCCAGCGTGCACGAGGCGATGCCGCGGCGTCGCGCTCAACGAGACAAGGGTTGGGGCAGCGCCGAGCTCGCGATCCAGCATCAGACGTGGAGGCGACTTCGCAGCGGCGCAGCGGTTCAGCACTCGGCGGGAGAACGACGCGCCAGCGCATCGCATAAACACGGAGTTAGATCAACTTGAAGGCACAGCTGAATCACACCATGGCATCAACGGGGTCGAGGGCCACCCGGAGCACAAGGCCAAGCAAGCCAGGCACGATGGTCGAATACTCCTGCGAACTGGACAGCCTCATGGATGAGATTAGGACTGCTGCAAGTGGCGTAGCACATCGACTCGGCCTTCCACATGGAAATCTACGCCGGCATGAACACTCCAAGAAGGCAGGTGGCCTGTTGGACGGGCCAACTAGGGCTGGAGGCGGACAAACGGACGCACTGCGGGGCAGCCGACCCTGCAACCCTTGGGCGGCGCTCCAGAACTTCATGGAGACCAGCGCCCAGCTGGCCATCGACGGGGCCGAGAGCGGGCGCATGATCATGCTGTTCATCGCGGGGCCCAGGCGGCCCCTAGAAGTTGGAGCGATCGTCGCGTTCGAGTGGCCAGCGAATAGGCGTGGCTGGAAGGGGCGAAATCCTGGAGCTCAAGAGGATGCTGCCCTTCGAATGCGCGTTCGACGGCTGCGCTCACGGCCCGAAGAACGACTGGGCCGACAAGTGTGCCAGGAAGCCCCGGAAGGTGCTCGCAAGCAACCAGCCACTTCAGAAGCTTCTGGATCTAAGATGCCCACAGGACCCAAGGCCGCGAGTTCAACGAGAAGGCGTCCGAGAAGACATGCCCCTGCACTCAGGCTGTGCGCAGAGCGGCAGTGGTGGGATTCACGGGGGCGCCGCGGACGCCGATTACACTGTGGTCACGCTGCGAGGCGATCCCGAGGGCGAGGGCACATCGAAGGAGCCTCGGGTCACCCTGGCGACTCTTCAGCCCGAGCAGAGGATCATGCTGACGAGGGCCGTTGCAATAGTGCACGCCAACCTTGGGCATCCGGGCAATCGGGCCTTGGCCAGAGCCATCCGCCTGCCAGGCGGGTCGAAGTGCGCTATCGCGGCTGCGCTGGCCCACCGTTGCCCTGCTCGCATCAAGCTGGCGTCGCCCTCGGCGACCGCGGTATCTTCGCTCTGGGATCGCCGGAAGGAGTTCGGCGACTGCTTGGCCACCGACACTTTCGAACTCGCCGTCGCCCAGGGCGTCGGCAAGGGCTTCCTCAGTCAATTCGACATGACATCTAAGTTCCAGCAGGTCATCAACTCGGTCGCCTGCCGCAAGCCGACGGCAATCTGGCGGGCCATGCTAGACCCCTGGTAGCCGACGCCGGGGAGTCCGAGCGCGGTGTTCTTAGGGGGTCGAAGCCTGCGCGTGCCCCGGGCGCCTCTATAGGCCTTGGCCTGCTCTCCTCCTTCGCCGCTATCAGCGGGCGCGCTGGCGTGGGCGTCTGCCGCGGCCGAGACGCAGTGACATGTGCCATCGCCCCAGCCTTCGTTGGCGGAGCCTCAGGCTACGCGCAATCAACAGGGAGATCAAGCGCGGGGCGCAACCATCTCCGCGACCCCCCCATGCAAGGCAGCATCGCCAGCGCCGCCGCTTTCGTCGCCCGTCTCCAGACGAGCGCAACAACGCAGCAACTTGCGCATGCTGCCGTGACCATGAAATTCGCGCGACCAGCAAAATGCCGAAGGCTCGGCGAGATCTCCAACTTGCGCGCCAGCCGACGCATGGCCATGCTCGGGGGGCTGCGCCAGCAGATCGGATATCATCCGAGGGGGGCCTTCACGTGGCCTGGCGCCCTGTCGCCAGCGTGGAACTCGAGGCGGCTGGCGCGTCGACGCGCCCGCGGCCGTTCTTCCCGCGGGCGCCAGCCCCCTGCCCGCTAACGACCATCTTCAGACGTTCCCCGCGCGGGGGGGCAGGCCCCCGTGGAGATCGCCGGGCCAGCGCGGCAACGCGACCGCAATGCATCGCGTCGCCGCCTCGAGCTTCTCAATCGAGCTCCGGGCCGCGCCCCGTTCATCGAGATGGCCCCGAGGCGCGTGGGAACGGCCCGCTCTGCCCCCGAGTCCGCGCGCCAGGTGGCTCTTCCGGCGAAGCGCCCAGGCTCCGACAACTTATCTGCGACAGCCAACCCACTTCTGACCGCGCGCTGCAGGGCCCCCCGCCCCCCCGAGCCCCGCGCTGCATTGGCGACGGGGCAGTTTGGCCTGAAGGGCTCTGTCGCGGAGAGCCGCCGCGCTGGCGCAATTGCCGCGGCGCGCCCCTCCAATGGGCGGGGGCGGGGATGGGCGGGGGCGCCGGCTGCGGCAGATGGACAGCCTGACTCGTCCGCCGCAAACTCGGCAATGCAGGGCCCGCGCCGACGCCGCCCTCGGCCCCTGGCCCCATGGCGATGCACGGGTTACACTGCTCTTAGTAGCTCCGTGATCTGGCGCGGCATGCAAGATCCATCCCCTGGCACGCGCGGGCCCGTTGCGTCGAACGAGGCCCGAAGCCGCGGCCCCGCCGGACCCGCCTGGGCAAACTCGGATCGCGCTGGCCCGAGGGCGCGGGCCGCGGTGCGATATGGCGCCACCGCTTTAAGCCCGCGATAGACCTTCCGTCGCCCTCCCTCGCCCCCCGAGAGAACTTGTTAGACGCGTTTGCCCCTTCTCGGGCCGCGCGCGCCTCTGGGCCGTCAAAAACAAGCTAGTCTTTGTCTGGCGCGTAGAAGTAGGCTGGGCACCTAGAAAGGGCACAAGCCATTCGAAACTTATCCATGTTTAGCGGCGCCGCCGTCGGGCCCAAATCCCCCGCGCGCGGCAGACATGGCCAGATTTCTACCTGGGGCCGCGAGCCCAAGGTCAACATCGAGCCCCCTCTCCCCGCCCCAGTTTGGCCGCCGGGGCCCTCTCTCGGCGCCGCGGGGCACCTCCGCGAAACGAATAGCTCATCGTCGAAAGGGAAGTGCGCGGCAAACGCAGCGCGAGCGTTTTGCGCATCCAGAATTTCCCCGCGAAGCCTGCGAGCGATGCCGATTCAAAGATGGCGGCCTGCAGGCCGCGGCATTTGGCAGGTGTCGCTTGTTCCTGCGATGGACCGCCAACCAAATCCTAACTAATCTACGGGGAGCAAGGTTGCACCGCTTCTTGGGTCATCTGTATTGCCTCTGGTCGGTGATTCTAAGCAGGTTCATCTCAATGCAATTGCGCTTCTGGTACGGTTCCCCTGACAAACCCGACTATATCCGCGCGTCGTTCCCTCTCTCGTGTGTCCATCTCTCAACACCCCATCATGCCATTAAACTCGACAACGATGGTGTCGCATTGGGTCGGGCCCGTGTCGGGATGCGGTTTGTGCAACAGCTCTCTGGTCTTCTTGCATATTTCGTGACCCAATGTTTTCCTGATGTCCAAGAATGTGTCTACGTCGTTGTTCTGAACTTGTTCTCGAATGTCTTCTCGGGGGCCCGTCGTGCGCCCCCCAATAGTTCCCGCGCCCCATTGGCGGTACCTTCCTGCGCTGCAACTGTCCATGCGTACTGTCCTACTACTTTTACCTCCCCGTCCACTGCCCGACTCGTCGGGCCCATGTGCGCCCACTTGCCAGGCACTGCGTCAATCCGTCCCTGCGGGTCGCGCGCGCGGGAGGGGCGCGGGCCAGTGAGGCGGCAGAGAAAACGAGTCCGATTCGTAAATGGTCTCTGTGCCCTCCGATTGTAGTTTTTGTAGATGTTGCCCCGCAGTGTGTGAGTAAGGTGCATCTTTGTATTAAGCCCAGGGCTCCCAGAAGTACTGCGATTTGCTGGATACTGTTGGTGTAACCTGGGTGCCCATGCAGGGTGTTTTAAATCATACTGGTGTGGCAATGCTCATGTCGCTCGTGCTGCACATGATTATGACACTTGCCCCGCATCCGTTTTCTAACTTGGGTTGGGTCCCGCCTACTGTTTCCCTCCTGGTAGTAATTGTCGTCCCATCGTGGTCCCGTTGGCATCTGAATTCGCTGTTGCTGTACCCTCACACAACTGGCGTCGTGGGGTGGGGGCATAGTAGCATACGTCGGGTCTGTAGTCAAACTGCTTTGTCGTAAATTGAATGCATGCTGACCTGCCATGGAATCACAAAACTGGTTGGTGTATCGCCATTGTGGTTTTCTCGTCTATCCCGCGGCTGATTAACATGCTGGCCCGCACGATCCACTTACCCTGCATTGCTCCGAACTGCAATGCAACATGGTGCCGTGTTTTGCTCTGCACTTGTTCCTCCCTGGCGCATCTGCGCGCGCCATTGAATATAATCACGCCCCATGTCTTCAATTTTCTGTTGGTGTGGTCGAATCGCTCCATTCCAATAGCCTCCATCGGGCTGTAACATCATATGCGGCCTGCGTCCATGTTGCCAGGCGAGATGCCCGGCCGTGGTGGCCCCGCGGCCGCCCCCCTGCTTCCGAGGCCTTGGGTGGAAAACACAAGTCGCTGCTGTACAGTTGTGCGTGAAGTACGGTCGTGCGGCGCCTGAACAACCGCAAACGGCGTCTGGAGGAGGAGGAGGAGGAGGAGGAGGAGGAGGAGGAAGAAGAATAATGAAGAGTGAGCGAGAAGGAGGAT